AGAACATAAGAAAGTAAGGAGTCTGCAATAGGCCGGTTGGCCTGTGCATGGCAGCTCCTGTCGAGAGTTACTACCACTCTCCATCATCCATGAATCTATCCAGTCTCCTTTTGAAACTTTCCAGCGTTCCAGCACCCACTACAAAGTTGCTAAGCTTGTTCCACTCGTCCACCACCCTATTTGTGAACCAGTTTCTTCCTATCTCCCTCCTAAACCTAAACTTATCCAACTTAAATCCGTTGCTCCGAGTCCTATCCTGCTCGGATATTATAAGAACTTTATCTATATCCCCTTTATTGATTCCTTTCACCCACTTAAATACTTCTATCATATCTCCCCGCACTTTTCGTCTTTCTAGGAAATGCAAGTTTAGTTTCTTTAACATATCTTGATATGGAAGGTTTCTAAGTCCCGGAATCATTTCCGTCATTCTTCGCTGCACCGACTCCAGTGAATTGATATCCATTCTATAATAAGGGCACCAGAAATGAACCGCATAATCGAGGTGCGGCCAGACTAGCGCAAGATATAGTTGCAATAAGACCTCTGCACTCTTATTACTTACACTTCTAGATATAAAACCCAATACTCTGTTTGCCTTATTTCGAACATTAACGCACTGTTTTCTAGGCCGTAGGTCCGGGCTTACAAGTACCCTTAAGTCTCTTTCACAAGTCAACTTCTCTAGGTTGATGTTGTTAAGGCTTTATACATTGACAGTATTTGTTCTTCCAATATTAAGTACGCTGCACTTGCTGGTGTTGAATTTCATTTGCCATTTTTCTGACCACTCCTGCAGTTTATTTAAATCCTCCTGTAGTGCATTTGCATCCTGCCCTGAATTAATCTGCCGCCCTATTTTGGTGCCATCCGCAAACTTGCTTACGTCACTGCTGATCCCAGTATCTAGATCGTTTACGTAGATTATGAACAGGAGTGGGCCTAGTACTGACCCCTGCGGAACCCCACTGGTTACACAGCCCCACTCACATTTAACACCATCTACGCTGACCCTCTGCATTCTATCGGTAAGCCATGATTTTATCCAATTTAAAACTTTCCTCTCGATACCATGAGCCTTAACTTTTCTCAGAAGCCTCTGATGCGGTACTCTGTCAAATGCTTTGCTAAAGTCTAAGTAAATAACATCATAATTTTCGTCATTATCTACTACCTCGAAGACTTTCCTAAAAAACGTCAGCAGATTATTTGACAAAATTTTCCCTTTGTAAACCCATGTTGAGAGTCGTAGATTAATTTGCTTTTCTCTAGATGCGATCGGATGTTATCTGCTATAATTGATTCAAGAAATTTCCCCATTACTGACGTCAAACTGATCGGCCGGTAATTTGACGCTGATGCTCTGTCTCCCTCTTTGAATATGGGTACTACATTTGCCTGTTTCCACTTGCACCCACCGTACCATTGTGTAACGGACAGATAAGGCTTGCATACTTACTTCTGTCGTTTATATATTTTCTAAAGGACATTTCTTTCATCATTATCAAAGTTCTTTAATTATTTAAGAAGATTTTTTAATATTTTGTAGTATGCATCCGCGGGCTGCAGAAGCTGGTCTGGTTCTTCCCACAATCATTATAAATTTGGTTTTAAATATTGCAAATGAATTGTTATTTTATTATTAGGCGTAAAGAAAATATGTTTTACATTTAATATTTTCACTAATATCTATATCAAGTAGAATAATCCGTTATGTCCATTGAAGATAACTGAACTTCGCCCAGTTAGAGGGACACCAAATAGTTCTAAGGTCATTCTCTATGTTCAGAATAATGTTTTAAATTCATCTCTCTATCTATCTATCTAGCTATCTATCTATCTATCTGTCAATCAATCTATCTACCTATCTATCTATCTATCTATCTATCTATCTATCTATCTATCTATCTCTGTCTGTCTGTCTGTCTCATCTATTAACATCTCAACAATATTTTTTTTTCGGTTACAGGACCCGGAGATGGTGATACCAGGTAATGTTTATATACTGGAAATACTACAACATCCAGGTAATGTTTATATACTAAACACTACAACATCCAGGTAATGTTTATATACTGGAAATACTACAACATCCAGGTAATGTTTATTGGAAGCACTACAACAGGCAACACCCAGAGAGGTAGTGGAGCGTCTTATGTGGGTGTGACAGTGGATGAGAGGATAAATAATGAACTGAATCACAGAGAAACTGGGAATAAATGAAAGGCTATTTAGATCATGTGATAATTAGACACCCAAGCTTATTTTACCTGATGATTATGCACCCTAGCGTTACCTGGGGGGGGGGGTTATCCTTATGTTATGTTATGTTACGAAGTGAATAAGGATGTGAGGGATGGATCTCGGTGAAAGTGAATAATAAACACTGTTGTTCATAGGAGATTTCAACACAACGGCGCCACTAAACGGTGAAGAACTTGGTGTTGAGGATATTATCTGTGGTGCTTCACCCATCTCGGACCGCTACATCGTGACAGCCGCCCACTGTGTCTACCGTTTTAGGCAAGTTTCTTTACGCCATTTGTTTCTGTCTACCCAGCAGTAATTGGGGACCTGGATTTTAATCAATTTGTGGATCGTGTTCCAGGGTGATGGTTAGCTGGAGCAGTTGGCGAGTTGTCCGGTCTTCCCGGACTATTTCTTGACACGGAGTCATGCAACTCGTTATCTCAGGGTGTGGTTGTTGTGTTGACGACAGCTTCTACACCTTAAACAAATTCACGCCTAGGTCGTCTTGCGGCCGGCCATCTTTGTTACACGAGGGGCAACCATTATTATTATAACACAAAGTTCGTTGTCTGATGATATGTACTAAAAATATAATAAGTAGAAGCTTCGATAATGCAGTCCTTCTTCATTGCATATCTAGGCACCGGGCCGTGTTTAATGGATATTAATACTGTATATTGTTTTTCGTACACAGCTTCGAATCAGTCAGGCTCGGGGAACTGGATTTCGGGTCGGAGAACGAGAACAACTCTATGCCTGTTGACTACGAGATCGAGGAAATCATTGTCCATCCTGGTTATGAGTGAGTGTATCTTATGTAATGCGAGGTTAACCAGTCTTATGATAGGTTTATGACTGGAGGCAGCACTGGCAGTGATAGGCACAGGTCAGGCTGAAACCAGCCAGCCCATGCGCCGCCATCTTGAGTTCAAGACGCTGGCAAAACAATCACTACTGGCCAAGCACCAGGCAACTTTAATGATCTTATTTGTGTGACTATTCACTATATTTGCCATTTCTTACTTAAAATTATTTTGTGCAATACTTGTGGTGTGTGGTATAGGAGGGCTGACGTCTTGTCATGACGACCTATCCATGGTGCATGTTTAACTAACCCCCTTTCGTAATACATTCACTGAAACATACTATTAATTTGGTCGTGAGTGAACCTTCTAATTAACATCTTATATCTTATATAACCGATAGACTGAATATTCCTTGGAAGTTCTGAATAAATTTTAAAATGTTAACTAGATGTTTTGTAATACGTGACAGAATAGTTAGTCTGTTCGGGAGACCTTTGAATATGTCCGTAAATTTTCTTGCTAAACACGGTTGTTCTTTAGGTATTAGTTTTTACCTGGAGTAGAACCGAGGTCTTGTCACAACTCAGCTTACCTAGTTTCATTGTTTGTAACTTTACTACGAATTCAGAAATCGTAACAGGAGGAATTAATTCTTTTTAACTTTAAAATCTCTTTGTTGGATCTATTGACTTGATGTTTTAATTATTTGAAATAGAGAATTTTGACATAAAAGCTTTCATAGTAAACTCATCTGCTGAAAAATTACAGGATATACGTATTACTGAAGATCAGTGGAGATTATTATCGCATCATTATGCGACTGAGTACAGAAGCTCTGCTAGTAAAAAAAAAACATTTAGTTTTGAATGAACTACTTAGTTAAGAGTTACTTCCACCGTTCATATTAGAGGTAAACCAGGCTCAGGTGACCAGCACGAACTGTTCACACGATTGAGGGGCAGTGGCCACCAGACCTGACTCTCGTAGACACACAGACGACGTAGATGATGATGAAGGTCTCATCTTCACTACCAGCTTTGGAACATGAGTTCAAACTTAAGCAACATGAGCTTCAACACCAACACGAGATCTTTAAATTAAGAGAAATAGCGGAGGAATATCAGTTTAAATTAAAAGAAGAAGACAGAGAACAATTAGAACAAGAAAAGTTAATACTAGAATTACAATTAGTTCAGTTTCGTCAACAAAATCTTAGTTCTCCGTACACATTTATCTGCATTAATTCTGTACTTCAGCTAATAAATGTTCTCAGCGAGTCTTAACTCCTCTGTGTCTTCAGACCAGACTCCCATATCCAGTACAACGACATAGCGCTGTTGAAGACAGTGGACAAGATCATCTTCAACGACCTGATCTTCCCGTACTGTGTGTCAGACCAAACACCTGCCCCGAACACCATCGTCACCGGCTCTGGCTTCGGCCTTGCCAATGCAAGTGAGTTTCCTAAATAATGCTGAGTTATGTGAGAGCTTTTCTTTACTCTTGTGAGCTACTCCAACACCTGTGAGTTACCCAACAAGTGTGAGTTACACAAAAACCTATGAGTTACCCTAACATCAGTGAGTTACCTCAACACCTGTGAGTTACCCCAACACCTGTGAGTTACCCCAACACCTGTGAGTTACCCTAACACCTGTGAGTTACCACAACACCTGTGAGTTACCCATTACCTGTGAGTTACCACAACACCTGTGAGTTACCACAAAACCTGTGAGCTACCCCAACACCTGTGAGTTACCCCAACACCGGTGAGTTACCCCAACACCTGTGAGTTACCACAACACCTGTGAGTTACCCACAACACCTGTGAGTTACCCCAACACCTGTGAGTTACCACAACACCTGTGAGTTACCCCAACACCTGTGAGTTACCCCAACACCTGTGAGTTACCCTAACACCTGTGAGTTACCACAACACCTGTGAGTTACCCATTACCTGTGAGTTACCACAACACCTGTGAGTTACCACAAAACCTGTGAGCTACCCCAACACCTGTGAGTTACCCCAACACCGGTGAGTTACCCCAACACCTGTGAGTTACCACAACACCTGTGAGTTACCCCAACACCTGTGAGTTACCACAACACCTGTGAGTTACCCCAACACCTGTGAGTTACCCCAACACCTGTGAGTTACCCCACAAGTATGAGTCACCCATAAACCTGTGAGTTACTACCAGATATCTCTAGCACTTGGGATTTGTTCTGAATCTATTGTTTTCCTCTTTGTGTCTTGTAGTTGTTAATATTATAAAGGTGTATAGAATTTATTTTTACAAAGAATAAAAAGATATAGAATCATAATAAGGAAATTAAGCCCGAAACTTATCGAAAAAAAATACAATTTGTATGTGATATTAGCGTTGACTTGATGATAAAAAAATACGAACTAGTGGAGCAAATAATAAGGGTTTTGAGTTATGTACACCAGAGTTAAGATTTAGGTGATGTACTGTTACAGCGCACCAGTCATCAATGTTGCAGGAGGCTGAGCTTCGTATCTTAGATTCTGCAGAGTGTGAGAACATCTACAGGAGAGAACATCATGAGCCACAACTGCGTGTCGTGTACCCTGACTTACTACAAGGACGAGACATTATGTGTGCCAATCACCCTGAGAGAAGTGCTTGTGAGGTGAGTCTCTTGTTTTGTTCTGGTGTTTGTTAGAGAGAAAATAAGTAGATGTAGTCGTCTATTATTTGGTGGTCCAGGATGATGGCTATGATCCTCTCTCACTAGGGTGACTCTGGCGGGCCGCTGTTCCTGGATGTCGCTGATGGCCGACGCTTCCTGGTGGGGATGGTGGGTTCAGGTGTGGCATGCCGGGGAGGGGGTGCCTCTATCCTCCCTGACCTCTTCGTCAACCTCGCACATCATATCACGTTTATAGACAAGGAAATCTTTGGCAACATCAACTAAAAACCTACTTCATATATCCTCAACTTCCTTAACCGGACTTAAACCCTGTACATCTACCCTAGACTATCACTACACGCGCTAACGAGACATATCCTCTCCCCATTACCTTAACAGAAAATAACCAAACCAGATCCAATCTTACCAAGCCGGTTTAAATACCTAAACCAGGCCTTAACCATTCGCATATAACCTATCCTAAAAGAGCCTAACTTATCCTGCCGTTCTTATCTTCAATATAAGATGGCACATTGATATTATATTCATTATGGTGACACGGTGTCAAGATGTTATGTGTCATGTTCAGTGTCATTATCTCAGTAGACGTATATGTCACCTTTAACAAGTTTATAAGTTAATAGTTTTAGAATTTTATATTTCATCTTAATATAATCTGTAAGATGTTCATGAATTTATTGTAATGATTGACTATCAGACCAAAGCTTACAGCCCAGAATTACATCACATATAACAGCAAGTACAGTACAGACCGCGTGGTACACCTCAGGTCAAGACCTGACCCCGGCCGAAGTACTTGCGTAACCCTACGATATAACCGTGTTAAGGAAACCACACCTGGCCAAGACCCACCCGGGCGGTAATAATTACAAAGCACTATTGTCCTGCGACATGACCACACCTGGGCAAACAGCTGTCCAGACCTGACCCAAGGGAGATCAAGGACCAGCTAATCAGCCAGCACCCCTGTTACCCAACCCAACAACCCGGTCAAGACACACCCACTTAAGTAGGAGAAGTCACCCTCCGGCTCCTCCAATATATAGGGGCTGGAGCTCCTCTCACACGCCAGAGTCTGATAACCAAGGAGGGCCAGCAACCACGTCCCCTGTCCCGCTCATCAAAGAAGTCCGTCGCTAAAGGCAACGAGGTTTCAGCCGGGTCCATCGACAGAGTGCTGTCAGTTCAATGTATAACCATATGTACTGGCTGTGTAGGTGGTAGAAGTGCAGTGATCCTGGACCTCCTAAAGATCGACTTAGTGAAGTGCCCATTCAACTTGTGAAGTTAAACGAACATATCATAGTCTATCATACCCTGTGTACGAATCCCCCCCATTAATTCCCCCTATGCAACTAGTAAAATAAAGCTGTAACACGCAGTTGTGTTTGTCATGGGTTGCGTTAGGCTTACCCACGCAACCAACTCCAAAGTTTGTTTTACTAGAGATAAGACGCCCGGCGAGGCATAACTGGGACATGTATTTTCCATTAGTGTATGTTAGCCAGCCTTTAGGGGGTGGGCAGTGAAACAGTGTTGTACTGTTCATCGCTTCACACCCAAAAACCTCATTTTAACCAGTATCCCTACGACCATGGCTTAGTTAAGAAGTCGTCTTGACTCTCTCCCTCTTGAAAGGGAGCGGGACACCACACCACACAGGGTCCTCCACCGCCACTCCGTCCTGTGGACCGTCGGTGACACGAGATTAAGTGTGTTAACCTAGGTTGTTATCCCCGTGGAAATATCACGTGTGGAAGCCTGGTTGCGACAAAAGCAATCCAGGCTGGTCTATTGCACCTAAGTGGTTAATCAAGTCACGCTTACCAGTTCTCCTTGCCGCGACAACCGTCTACAGTGACTGTCAGTGACGCGAGACTATGTGTGGTAACCCAAGAGTACTTTTTGTTGTTATGGCCCGTGGAAAGAAGTTCTTGTGCGGAAGCCTGGTTGCAACAAAAGCAATCCAGGCTGACAGTAAATTTATCACTTGAAGAATTAAGGCTCTGTTAGGTCATACCCATAGTAGAGTAATCACATGTGTCCCCAAGTTGAAAATTCTCTTTTAGAAGATTAATTTTATTACAGCGTGAACGTGAGTGAATCCATGCAAATTGTAAATCATTGTATGGAAGCTTGACAAATAAATGTAAGTGCAATTATCTACCCGTATCTGTGATCCTATCTTATTATTACTAAAGGAAATGACTGATTGGTTATGACAAAGTATAACCAATAACTGAGATAGATGTTGGAGATTAATGGAATTCATTAAATCATCATTTATCAAGTATAAATCATGGAAGGTCGAGTGGTGGAGTGAACTTCTACGTAGATACGCCATAATCTCCTGTAAGTAACCAGTGTGAAGGTATCGAACTCTACGGTAAGAAATAAGAAATACGACATATTATTATCGTTATATAATATAATCCACTCATACTACCACCGATTCACCCAAAACCATGACAGTGTTTTATATACTACACTTGTACTGAGCCTGTGTTAATATACGTAGTCACCCCCCCACACCCTCGAGACACGCTACCAAACTTCCTGTCTTTACATCCTCCTACTATAAATATTCTACCTATATGTAATATCCTCTTCTGGTGAGTTTTGTCTCATTACATAATTTACGTAAAATAATGCGAATGTTTATTAGTGTAAAATTATAACAATATTTGTGTTTCTTTTTGGATTAACTTTATTCTCTGTGTCATTAATATTCACAAGACTGTGTCAAGTGTCTGAGTGATTGATCCTCAATAAACATAAAACAAAGTTTCTTGTTACCTACTGACTCCCTGTGATTATTATTATTTTTTTTTTGGGGGGGGGGAGGATAACCCACCCAGGCACAGATCACTGACTCACATCAGGGCCTGGGGGGCGAAAATATAATAATAATAATAATAGTAATAATAATAATAAAAATAATAATAATAATATTAATAATAATAATAATAATAATAATAATAATAATAATAATAATAATAATAATAATAATAATAATAATAATAATAATAATAATAATAATAATAATAATAATAAATAACTACAAAAATAAAATAAAAACATAAATTGCGAGTGAGAAACTATATACTCTACGTATGTACAGGCGCTATGTTGCGTTGTCAAAGTAAGACAAACAATTGAGACCCTGCAATTGTGTGTAAATGAGACAGAAAGACAGATGAGCAACCTGGGACTTGATCACAATCTCTGTGATGCCATATGGCAGCAGGGTCTACCATGAGACAATACATTATGCTTCCAATATCTTCCCAGGCGGTAGTACCTCCCTGATTGGTAGCTGCCAACTCCCTACAACAGTGACCATGCTTTACACTTCAATAATACACATCGTTAGTACAGATCTGGCCAATCAATCGATGGATAGTGCAAATACCAGTCCTAATGGGTCTTAGTTCTAATGGGTCTCAGTAATAAAGGGGATCAGTTCTAATGGGTCCCTGTTGTAATAGACCTCAGTTGTAATGGGTCTCAGTTCTAATGGGAAACTCGTAAGATGTGTGACGTTATAGAATAGTGTGTTATTAACGTTATCACCTTTAAGGAATGGGTGGGGCCCGGTAAGGGTGGGGCCCTGTAAGAATGGTACCCTGTAGAAGTGGTGCCATGTAAGAGTGGGGCCCTGGAACAGTGGGGCCCTGGAAGAGTGGGGCCCTGTAAGAGTGGTACCCTGTAGGAGTGGTGCCATGTAAGAGTGGGGCCCTGGAAGAGTGGGGCCATATAGGAGTGGGGCCCTGTAAGAGTGGTGCCCTGGAAGAGTGGGGCCCTGTAAGAGTGGCCCCATCTAAGATTGGCGCCCTGTAAGAGTGGGACCCTGTAAGAGTGGGGCCCTGTAAGAGTGGGGCCCTGTAAGAGTGGCGACCTCTAAGAGTGGTGCCCTGTAAGAGTGGGGCCTGTAAGAGTGGGGCCCTGTAAGAGTGGCGACCTCTAAGAGTGGTGCCCTGTAAGAGTGGGCGCCCTGTAAGAGTGGGGCCCTGTAAGAGTGGGGCCCTGTAAGAATGGGGCACTGTAGGAGGGGCCCCTAGGCGTGGGGCCCTGTAAGACTGGTGGCCTATAGGAGTGGGGCCCTGTAAGTGTGGGGCCCTGTAAGAGTGGTGTCCTCTAGGATTGGGGCCCTGTAAGATTGGGTCCTCTAAGAGTGGTGCCCTCTAAGAGTGGGGCCCTGTAAGAGTGGTGCCCTCTAAGGGTGGGGCCCTAAGAGTGGTGTCCTCTAGGATTGGGGGCCCTGTAAGATTGGGTCCTCTAAGAGTGGTTCAAGAGTGGGGCCCCTGCAAGAGTGGTGCCCTCTAGGAGTGGGGCCCTGTAAGAGTGGTGCCCTGTAAGAGTGGGGTTCTTAAGAGGGGCGCTCCTAAGAGTGGGGCCCTGTAAGAGTGGGGCCCTGTAAGAGTGGCGCCTCAAAGATTGGGGCCTGTAAGAGTGGTGGCCTATAAGAGTGGGGCCCTGTATGGGTTCCCTGTAAGAGTGGCGCCCGTAAGAGTGGCTCCCTGTAAGAGTGGTGCCCTGTAGGAGTGGGGCCCCGCAAGAATGGGGCCCTGTAAGAGTGGCGCCCTAAGAGTGGGGCCCTGTAAGAGTGGTGGCCTATAAGAGTGGGGCCCCCTAAGAGTGGTGCTCTGTAAGAGTGGTGCCCTGTAAGAGTGGGGGCCCCTGTAAGAGTGGTGCCCTGTAAGAGTGGGGGCCCTGCAAGAGTGGGGCCCTGTAAGAGTGGGGCCCTGTAAGAGTGGTGCCCTGTAGAGTGGGGCCCTGTAAGAGTGGGGCCCTGGTAAGATTGGAGCATTTTGTAAGAATGGCACCCTCTAAGAGTGGCGCCTGTAAGAGTGGGGCCCTGTAGGAGGGGCTAAGTAAAAGTGGGGCACTATTAGTGGGGCCTTGTAAGAGTGGGGCCCGGTAAGAGTGGCGCCCTGTAAGTGTGGGGACCTATAAGAGTGGGGCCCTGTGGGAGTGGGAGCCCTATAAGAGTTGCGCCCTGTAAGAGTGGGGACCTATAAGAGTGGGGCCCTGTAGGAGTGGGGGCCCACAAGAGTGGGGCCTGTAAGAGTGGGGCCCTGTAAGAGTGAAGCTAAGTAAGAGTGAGGGGGCCCTATAAGACTGGGGCCTTGTAATAGTGGGGCCCTGTAAGAGTGGCTCCCTGTAGGAGTGGGGGACCTATAGAGTGGGGCCTTGTAAGAGTGAGGCCCTATAAGAGTGTGGCCCAATAGGTGGGGGGCTGAATAAGAGTGGGGCCCTATATGAGGCCCTATAAGAGTGGGGCCTTTTAGATTGGAGCCAAGTAAGAGGGGGCTCTATAAGAGAGGGCATTGTAAGAGTACAGCCCTATAAGAGTGGGGCCCTATAAGAGTGGGGCCCAGGAATGGGGCCCTATAAGAGTGGGGCCCTGTAAGAGTGACAAGCAAGAGTGGGGCCCTATAAGAGTGGGGGCCCTATAAGAGTGGGCCCTGTAAGAGTGCCAAGTAAGAGTGGGGCCTATAAGAGTGGGGTCCTAAAGAGGGAGCCAAGTAAGAGTGGGGCCCTATAAGAGTGGCCTTGTAAGAGTGGGGCCCTGTAACAGTTTGCGCCCTGTAAGGGTGGGGCCTATAAGAGAGTGGGGCCCTATAAGAGTGGGGCCCAATTGGAGTGGGGCCCACAAAGAGTGGGGCCCTATAAACATGGAGCCCTTTAAGAGTGCGGCCCCTTAAGAGTTGTTGAGGAAGAGTGGAGCCCTGTGAGAGTGGTGCCAAAGGGCAAGAGACACAGTATAGTGCACGGGTAGTGGATAGTGTATGGTGCACCAAGAGAGGAGATGGTATGTGGTGCACGAGGAGTGTTATCTAATATTTGATAACTTTGAAACAGCACAAAATTATCATCTAAAATATTATATATGGTAGGTGGTAAGAGAGAGAGAGAGAGAGAGGAGAGTAGTAGGCAGACATTCAGTATTCCTTCAAGGTAAACAGGAAGGGTTGTTGAATGATCTCTTTTAGTTCTTCCTCTTTGTTTTTGTCTGTAAGTCTGTCAGTCTGTCTCTGTTTTCCCGTTTGGTTCTGTATCTGATTCTGCCCGTCTGTCTGTTTGTATGTCTGACTGTCTGTATGTTTGTCTCTGTCTTAGTTTATTTCTTTATTTATCTATAATATCTTTAAGCCTGTAATTCATAATGTCCGTATATTTGTATATCATTAAATTGTATGTCTGTACGTATGTCAGAATGTCTGTCTATTTGTATGATAACTAAGTTATTATGTCTTTTCACCGGTTTATCTTTATATTCATCTATGTCTGTATAATTATATATCATTATCTCAGTATTCTGTATGTCTGCCTGTCTGTATCACTCTGCCTGTAAGCCATCGTATCCATACAAATATTCATGTTTGTACGTGCACTACACCTACAGCATGTGTACTACACCTTCAACATACGTACTATGCCCCATGGCACGTATACTAAACCCAGTCCCATAGCATACGTACTACAGTAACTACACCAATGACATGTACACTACACCAATAATATTTGCACTACAATAAAAAATAGGTTACTACACCCATAAGATATGTGTTACACCAATATAAATGTATCACACCCACATTATGTCCCCATCCATAGCATGTGTAATACACCCAAAGAATGTTGTGATACCCCCAGAGTATGGTGTGCGACAATCAACACTGTGTAGTCCTCGAAACATATGTTAAATTCTCATTCCATATGATTTACTTGCAGCACTGCGTACAGTAAGGTGCAAAAATCAGTAACTACTGTACCATACAGTAGATACCACGATTATGGAATACATAGTACAAGATTCAGTAAGTATCCTGTTGTTAATTATGGAACACAGTACAATATCACATATACGAAAAGGAAACAATAAAAGAACGAACATAGTTGCAGGTGTCCAACAAAGACGAGAAAGAAGTTTCAAACTGTATCGTAAACAAACTCATTTAAGGCAAACTATAAGCAAATGAATCTTCAAGAAAGTTGTCCTTGAGATATTCCGCGATAAATTCACCGCAAGAAATTTGTATTTCCTGAAATCATGTGTATATTGAATATATATTTATAGGATAATTCAATCATCGAGAACTAAGCACTCGAAAACATTTCCTAGAGCGGTGTTATGGTGAACGAACGATGCATTGTGGAAGGCACTCCCTGAAGACGAGGTAGTGTTGGTGGGGTCAGTGTTGACTAAGACGCCAAGGAAGGTGGGCATAGCTGTCTCTTCACACAGGTACTCCTCTTTTAATTTTATATATATATATATATATATATTTTTAGCCTAATAAAGCACGCAAACTTCTACATACAATCAACACCTCAACCCACCAGGATTCGAACCCCGGCCCACGAGCCCATGACTTTGACTGGGGAACGCTACCTACTAGACCACCAGGATACTAAAAGCAGTACTAGAGTTTGTTATATATTCACACAAAGCCTGTTCAACGAGCTTATGGCATGGTGAACTCCTCGAATGGGACTACCCGTATCACTGAGGTGGTCAGAGTAACGTTTTTACCAAATCTGGCTGAAACACGAGGATCCATATATATTTCATTAGCACAATAAAGCAAGTGGACTTCTACATACAATCAACACCTCAACCGCCAGGATTCGTACCCACGGCCCACGAGCCCATGACTGTGACCGCTAATGAAATATATATGATCCTCGCTGATTCAGCCAGATTTGGTAAACGTTACTCTGATCACCTACGGATACTGGTAGTCCCCATTAGAGGTTCACGGTGCCATGCGTTGCAGGCTTGTGTGATAACAAAGTCGGACTGCTTTTGTATCCTGGTGATCCAGTGGTTAGCGTTCCCGGTCACAGTTATAGGCTCGTGGGGTCGGTCGAATCGCCGTTGAGGTGTTGATTGTATATAGAAGTCACTTGCTTTATTGGGCTAATGAAATATATATGGATCCTCGTGATTGAAGCCGGATTTGGTAAAACGTTACCTGACCACTCACGTGGATAATGGGTAGTCCCCATTAGAGGTTCACGGTGCCATAAGCTCGTTGAACAGGCTTTGTGTGAAATATAACAAATTCTAGTACTGCTTTTAGTATCCTGGTGGTCCAGTAGGTAGCGTTCCCCGGTCACAGTCATAGGCTCGTGGGCCGTGGGTTCGAATCCTTGCGTGTGACCAGGGACCGCTACCACCGCGCCCCAAGGACAACAAAAGTATTCCTAGACATTGTTATATTTGACACAAAGCTTGTTCAATCGTGCTACCATCAGCGCCGTGAACCTCCACTGGGGATTGCCCATGCCAACTATGTGGTTGGAGTAGAATTTTACCAAATCCAGCTAAACAGCGAGGTTACATATACATCTCATTAGTAGCGGACTTCTACATACAGTCAAGTCCTGGCTAGATCAGAAGAAAGCTCCCGTTGTTGCCTGTGACGAAGGAATATGAAATGTTGTATTGGCACCTCAAGTGTTACCAACATTTTTCCATTTTAATAAAAGCAGTGGACAGAAGTCTGAAGTCTCCTCCACCGCACACAATTTATTTAGAAACATATTCTACACCTATTGTTATCTTCATAATGGTTACAAGAAAATTAAATGTCTGATAACCACAAAGAAACAAGAAAACACGAAGTTCCCAAGCGCTTTCGTGTAATTCACATCTTCAGGGGTGAGTACAGACTAAGGAGAAATACTTGAGAAGGCTTGTAATTTAATTGTCAGTAGGAACATTATAGAATCCACTCTCATTAAACATACCGAATCTGGCAACATGAATTTGAGTAATGGTATGTACAAACTGGATAATTTTGTGATTAAGAAGATTTGTAACCAGGTGGGAAGGTTGGGTCATCTTACCCTAAAACCTGACTACGAAAGCTGCTGTGCTTAGACATTGCATGGTCATTTTTTTATTTTTTTATTAAGAAGATTAGTAAGGCTACTGCCTTATGGCCGGAACATTGTGGACACCTGCTGTCCCCTAGGGACTTGATCTCACTCTCCTCTACTGTATATATCAGCCTTGTCAGGTATTACTCCTTAGTCTGTACTCACCCCTGAAGATGTGAATTACACGAAAGCGCTTGGGAGCTTTGTGTTTCTTGTTTCCTATGTGGTTATCAGCATATACCTGGATCATGCGCACCTACACTGATTGATATATATATATTTATATATATATATATATATATATATATATATATATATATATATATATATATATATATATATATATATATATATATATATATATAAAACAAAGAAGTATGTCTGTGTTTGTTTGTTTGTTTGTTTGTATGTCCGCACGAGAATCTCGGAAACTACTTTACCGATCTGTAGTGATGATGGATGGTGTTATATGTAGTGATGATTAGACAATAAAATAATAACAGTTTAATGCTAAAAAAATATACTTTGCTGTACCGTTGTAGTGGAACTTACATACACCGTTAATGAACTAATGATGGAAGAACAAGTTTTGGGGACTGAACAGTGAGACAATGTGGAGCCTCCCGGAGGGTGACGTCCTACCGTGGCCTAGCGAATGAGCCGCCCGGACCAGACTTGGCATGGATAGCCAGTGTCATGTGGGGATCTCAAAAAAACTCCAACCAACCCGATCCGACACACCCATCCCGACCCGACCCGATAAACCACACAGAGGTTGAAAAGTCGTATCACATCCCACGTATTATAGGTAATTTTATCCTTATATATACTACTACACGTTCACTACAACACCAGTACTACCAGCTCTGGAAAAACCACAAAGAAAGTCTTTCAGAGGATCTGCTTCATCAAGCAAGAAGAGAACATCCTGGTCAAGAGATTGAGTTCATGGATGACATGTTCAACAGGGCGCTGATCATGCTGGAAGACAAAGTGATGGAGCTATGTGGAAAAAAACCTGACTGATTTTGGATTGCTTTCCCCAAACCGAGAAGAACCAGTAGTTGCAAACAGGGAGTTGCTCAGAGAGACAGACTACTCAGTTGAAGTTCTGGTGAATTTTCTTGAAGAAAATGGACCTCTCCTGGTGCCTGATGAAGCAAATGCTTACGAACAGATCTTGCAAGCGATACAAGCGGAGCAGGGAGGTATGATCTTTCTCGATGCACCTGGCGGGACAGGAAAAACATTCCTAATCAACCTTCTGTTGGCCAAAGTACGTCATCAGGGGAAAATTGTTCTTGCTGTGGCATCCTCAGGCATTGCTGCAACACTACTAGAAGGAGGGCGTACTGCACACTCAACTTTTAAACTGCCACTCAACCTCGCTCACAATGAGAATCCAGTGTGCAACATCAAAAAAGGATCGGCAAAGGCAAAACTCTCAGAAAAATGCAGCCTCATAGTCTGGGATGAATGCACTATGTCTCACAAGTTAGCATTTGACGCATTGGACAGGACCTTGCAAGACATACGAGAAAATGACCAGCTCATGGGTGGCATTACAATGGTCATTGCTGGAGACTTTCGCCAGACCCTACCTGTCATTCCTCGAAGCACTCCAGCTGATGAACTGAATGCGTGCCTCAAGGCATCATACCTTTGGAGAAGTGTTCAGACATTCACCCTATCCACAAACATGAGAGTACATCTACAAGGAGATCAGGATGCTGAACGGTTTGCAAACCTTCTACTACAGATTGGGAATGGAACTTTCCCTGTTGATTCAGAAGGACAAATAATCATTCCTCAAGGATGTGGAAATGTTGTAAAGTCCTCAACTGAGCTCACTAACATGGTCTACCCAAACATTATCCACCACTACAAGGATCACAAGTGGCTGCGTAACGCGCAATTCTGGCACCAAATAATGAAACAGTGGCTGAAATCAACATGACTCTACTCAGACAGCTTCCAGGCAGTGAGACCTCATTCAAATCTGTTGATACAGTAATCAACCAGGACCAAGCAGTCCAGTACCCTGCAGAATTCCTTAATTCTTTGGAGCCCGCTGGAATGCCTCCTCACCACCTCACTCTCACGATTGGAACTCCTATAATGCTCCTAAGAAATCTTGAACCACCAATCCTCTGCAATGGCACAAGACTGGTGGTGAAGAACATGATGCCACATGTACTGGAAGCTACAATACTGACAGGAAAAGCTAAAGGAGAGGACGTTTTTATACCAAGGATACCTCTCATCACCACTGACCTGCCATTTGAGTTCAAGCGACTTCAGTTCCCGGTTAAAGTGAGCTTTGCCATGACCATCTACAAAAGCCAGGGACAGTCCCTAAAGATGGTCGGCCTAAACCTGGTGTTTCCTTGCTTCTCTCATGGACAGTTCTATGTTGGATGCTCCAGAGTGGGAACTGGCAAAAATCTGTACATACTTGCTGCTAATGGCAAAATAAAAAATGTGGTCTGCCTTAATGCACTACAGTGAGACAATGTGGCGCCTCCCGGAGGGTGGCATCCTACCGTGGCCTAGCAAAAGAGCCGCCCGGAGGGCGGCGATTCCGCCCCTGGTGTTTTACCTTCAAAGATATTTTAATGAATTAACCAGAAGGGTCAGGAAAGATATAAGAAGAGCATGGAAAAATTATGAAGAGGCGAAGACAAACACTAAGGGTTTCTTGCAAACACGTGACAAGAACAGACCAATACAGCCAGAGTCGGTGCACTAACCGCCACCGAGGGAGGAACGACCAATTTTCTGAACAGATTCAGTATTCACCCCATTGGCCAGAATCTTCTGTCCCAAAACTTTCCATTAAAAGGAATTTTTTTGTGATCATTCTGAGAAATACCGAGATAATTCTCTATTCCGGGCATTTGAACGAATTTCCAAGAGATTGCCTCATGCGCGGACACGTGCCTTGGGCGTAGCTGAGTAGGCTCAGAGTACTCCTGAGCTACAATTCACTACTACTTCTAGGTGACTGTGAGGGATGCCTATGAAGACACTCTTAGTTCATTGTCTGCTGTTATTGTACAAGCTTGTTCGCTTGCTTACTTTTGTTAATAGAACTACAAGTCCTGAAGAATGTTATACTAAAAGTCGGCACCTTGTTTTCAAGTGTTGTTCATATCAATCCAATTCAGACAATTAAACAGGAGGAAATTTGACAGAACTGTTGACACATGGACACATTATGACTCAAATACTTAATGATACCATTTTGTTGACATAGACGACGTCATTTGACATCGTTGACGTCATAGCCAATGTTGTTATGGTGAAATGTTGCCAAAAGAAAAAGGCTGCAAAATCAAGGTTGATTTACAAAATAGACACATGCACTCCTTCATTTACACACACAAAACAGCATTTATATGACATAGATGATATTCTACAGTAAAGGAGAATACACACCAAGGAGGCGGTCAAATTCTATGCCCGATTGTGAACTTCACTTCTGAGTCGGAATTCTCGGGACAAAAGAGCAGTTCCTTTCAGGGGATTGCAGTAAAGAGCGTATGGTCGACCTGATTGCTGATCAGCTCATGAAAATGGACTGTGAAGTAATGAAAGCAGTAGGTGATGGTGATGTTGAGATAGGTGAGGCAGCAGTAGATCATTCCCGTGCACATTCAACAACTTTGGTTGGTAAGGACACCGACCTCTTGATCCTTGTACACCATTGCGTTGATGCAGACAACAAGGGCCTCTACTTCCCATCATATAAAGCATATGTCAAGAACAAAGTTTATGACATCGGTCATCTACAGGATAACATTGGCGCAGAACTTACATCACTCTTATTATTCTTACATGCTATGATTGGTTGTGAATCCACATCGAGGAACTTATTTAGAAAGACTTCCTCCCTTCAGAACTATGCTGAAATGTTCTGCTTACCCGGAAAAGCCAGCAGTACCATATAGTACAGCGGCATAGCCAAACAATTGTGCATTTTATGATGAAAGCATTAACTGTGGCACAGATATAGAGTAATACATGGTGAATATTTTCAGATATGGAACCACTAGAAACTTAACCTCTGTGGGCGCCATATTGAATTTCAAGATGGCCGCCGTTCAGGATGCGCTAAACTATGTATTTCTGTTTTTACGGTTGCATATTTCATTCCAATGCATCAATATACATAATCCAGGTTACGAAAATCATTTGTGATAGTTTTCGAAGTTTATTACAATGAAAAAGACAAGTAAAAGCATTACACTGGAAAATTAAAATACAAATTTTCCGAACTCCCAAAACTTAAAAAAGAAATTCTGAACATTCGGCTATTGAGGCCGAATCTCTGTAGATATTTGGCCTAAACAGTCACCTTCACATGCACAAAGTCCAGTGCATTTAAGTGCAGCTTTTTTGCACCTACACTTGCCACCGCAGTGTTTTCTGCAACCGCAAGAGATTAGCTCGTGGCATGACTTTGACACTTCAGAGAGTGTGGTCCAGAGTGGTTCCAGCTCATCACCCGACTTCATCCAACCCCAGTCACATGGTGATGGCAGACTGACAAACGCTATTGCGGCCTGTCCCCAGATATGTCCAGCCTGATAAGCAGCTCTCTTTATGTGCTGCTCCAGAGCTGCTCGTGTTGGTGGGAGATCCTCCAGTGATCTTGATTTTCTTGAAAACAGTTTCTTTCTCAGCACGTTCACGTCACAGCATGTGCTCGTACGGTCATAGAGTAGCACGATGAATCTCGCCAGTGTCGACAGGACACCATCAGGCAGCTCACTTGGGGTGGAAGCCAGACTGAGGAAGGCGGTTGTCACTTCCGGATATGCATTCCATGTGGCCCAGGCTGCCTTCTTGCTATGACCTGCAAAGACAGATACCGTGTCGCAGCCCGTTATTGCGTAAAACACTGGAAGAGCTCTCGACTTCTCAGGTCCCAGGGCCTTTGCAATCTGATGTGCTGCTATGTAACATCGATTCTTTCCTGTGCCAAAAGTAAGCCATAGTTCATCTAGTACCTCACTCCGTTCTTTCGCTAGATCAACTGCAAGGATGACAACATCTGTATCGACGGTACGAATGAGTATTCGCCGATGACCACATTCCAAGGCATCAGCTGCATGAACCATCATCCTAGTGTCGGCCTCTTCGTGGTTGCATGGTGCCAAGTTGGCAATGTCCTTCCGGGGTGGAACAGTGAGTACCTGTTTCTTGTCTGTGACAACCAGCTGTTTACTTTCTTTGACAACCAACTGCATAACCTGTTCTGACAGGAAACTGAAGAGTTTCTCTTTGTTGTCACTGTTGCGGAGAAAGTTTTGCCAGTTGCTAGGTAGAGGACCAGAGGCAGTGACGCGTCTTGGAATGCCCTTGCCACGGTTACATCTTACTGTTGCTTTTAGGCTCCCAGATTTCAGGTAGCAATCCCATACCAGGTCAAGTCGAGATCGATATTCGAGCTGTGATTCAATATAGGGAATGGATACAACTGTGCTGTATTCTTGAAATGTCCTACTGCCTCCTGGCTTGAACATTTCCACAACGGCAGGTCCATCGAGTATAGATGAGGTGACATGTGGAGCGTCATTGATCCTGTCAGCAAGCTGTTCAAGGGGTGTGAGTAAGTCGGCCTTCTTGCTGAAGCGGAGTTTCCCATTACTGGAGAGTGCTGGTGGATTGGCCCGGTTTTCATGCTTGAAGAATTCGTCCAAATCACCCTCTCTTGTTTGACAGGCTATGTAGAGCCTGGAGAAGAGTCCACAGTCGTCTTTTGCGAAGGCTAGTTACTGCTTACTCCTAGTTGGAGACTTGGATTTCATAGAAGTGAATAGTGTTAGCTTGTAGAGCTTAATAGTGTCACCAATAGACTTAGACTTGTCTTCAAGGCGTTCTCTTACATATGAATGGAATTGTTCTCGTCCAAGCTTGACAACATTTTGCACACTCTTCACGGCTTCTGGACATAAGATTTCCTTTGTATGAAGAACCATTAGGTCAGCACATTTTTCTTCAAATGGGTTTCCCATTTCTTCCATGACAAGTGTAAGTGCTTTCACACCCTGAAGAAACTTGTCCTGTGTCGTGTTGGTTTGCTCATGATGGTGGAAGTTAGCCTTGGTTTGCTCAGCTTTCTGCGATGATTCAAATTCAGCAATGACCCGTGCTACTTCTGGACCTGCGACCATCCACCGTCAAAGTGCACTTGGGTTTCGAGTCAAACCGACTGCACCACCATCACCTTTGATGCAGGCATTGTTCTGCTCATGGGCCTGGTCTAGTGCCATTGCAGAAAAACGGCGGGCTGTTTTTTTTGCTGTGAAATGTCCAGCTTGAAACTTTGCAGCCACATCAGGATGCTTGTCCGAGAGCTCTGTCATGTCCTTCAGGTGGACTGGAACCCATCAAGAATAATGAGTATGATCCAAGGCGAAGAACCACTGACACAGTTCAGCCAGAGCATCCATGTATAGCGAGAAGTTTGATTCTCGTAGTGATCTAACAAACATAAAGATACTAGCTCTAGGTTGAGGGTGGTTGCCCAGTACTGAAACTGGGGACAACATTCAGCCCCTTGCTGACACCAGACACCAAACTCTAGGGGCTCATGACCATCACTTTGGGCATCTTCAGTGTATTTGCCATAAGCCTTGTGCTGTAGGATGTTCAGGGTTGCTGCTGTTATCTGATGGCCTCGCCTGGTGCGTGTGACGTGAGCAGCCTTTAGGAAAGAGTTCCCAGTTCCTGGGCTGGCAATATCGGCTTGCACCAGGGTTTCTGCCCACCCGCTACCCTGCAACCAACTGCCTGCCATCCTCAGAGCCGCCATTTCAATGTGGAGACCGCCCAGAATCATAATAAATTTCTCTTCGCCATAATTTTCGGGCCAATTCCACTGAATCTGTTTGGCTATTGCAAACAATGGTTGGTCCAAGGTGATTACTGGGGTTTGACCTTTTCTTTCTTCCTATAGCCTATTATTTCCCTATGCTTCGCAGTATTAGACGGTCTCACAGGACTAAGACAGCAACGTGGTGAAATCTGAATTTTTTTCCTGGATCCGCCCCTGATTTATAGCGGCCACTCAAATCCAGTATCGAGTTGTTCCATATCTGAAAATGTTCATATACCATTACTCCATCTCTGTGCCAAATTTGGTGCTTTCATCATTAAACGCACAATTGTTGTGAAAATTGTAGTTATGCCGCTCCACTAATAGTGGCTGTTGGACGTGGTCCAATGCTTCACCTGTTCGGAGGCACAACAACGGATTCACTTTCATCTGTAGATTAACTTCTTCGTAGTAAATCATGGAAGTAAAGAGTTTATTTCATATTGCACTGTTCTTATTAATTTTAGTATGACATTATTTCTATCGTTAATAATATTACTGATGTTATTATTTCCACCATCTATATTATTACAATACTTTGTTTATCGTTGTAGTATTATTACTGATAACAATTATTTACTTTCTTGTTACTGGTGTTAACAGGTTACTGTATAATATTATATTGTTGGAGACAAAATTACTGCATTGTGGTCACATCGTTCTCATTGTGGCCATTGAGAAAATTGTTCCTATTATATACTGGATTTTGTGCTAATTATATTCCCAGCTAATATCATGCGAGGAACTATTTTTGTATGTGTAATTATCACTAAGGTGGAGGCTAGTCCCCGGGTGAACCAAAAGTTACACAAATAATTATAAATAATTTCCATTCATTTATTTTTACGTTTAAGTTTAACTCCAATTATGTCCATCTTATCAACCAGCCCAGTAAGTCACCCAGCGCTCAGGTCATCACCCAAGTTTCTACCTTGGTGGTCCTGGTGGAAGATGGCGCCTGTTGTCATGGTGGTGTGGTTGTTGGTTGTGGTCGGGTGCTGTTCGACCACACTGGCCCAAACAGGTGAGTAAAGTCTGTTTTGTAGATTAATAAAGTCTCTCTACCTGGTTGAACTGAAAAGCTAAAGACCGTGAGAAAGAAAGGTGGAAAGACAACAAGAGATAGAGAGAGAGAGAGAGAGAGAGAGAGAAAGAGAGAGAGAGAGAGAGAGAGAGGGAGAGAGAGAGATGTTACAGGAAATATAAATAACGTGGTTGAGAGCAATATACAGGGCGAACAGGATGCAACAAATAATACACAGATGAAAATAAGATAAAGAAAGTGAAAGGGTATTCAAGAGTGTAATAATTATTGAGAAATAATGAATCAACCCGTTTCAGCGTTCTTGATGAAGGAGGACACTGTAGTATAACATATCTCAGGCCTTTGTTGTGTAGGATGAATGACTATGCATGCCAGTAGAGTCGGCAGGAAGCTCTTGACTGGTCATAGACGATCATCAACAATAATTGAATAGTTTCATACCATATACCAATAATTTCCATTAAATTGTAGAAATAAAAAGAAAAAGTAACATTTAAAGATTAATCAGCGAATATATTGTTCCATCATGACATATACTCCCATATGTATGTATTGTATGTGTGTATGTATATATGTATGTATGTATTTCATCAGCCCAATAAAGCACGCGGACTTCTACATATAATCAATACCTCACCCAGCCAGGATTCGATTCCACGATCTTATAATTGTGACCGGGGAACGCTACCTCTGGGCCACCAGGACACTAAAAGCAGTCCTAGACTCTGTTATATTTCACACAAAGCCTGTTCAACGAGCTTATGGTGCCGTGAACCTCAAATGGTAGCATTCCCCTGTCACAATTATAAGATCGTGGGTTCGAATCCTGGCGGGGTGAGGTGTTGATTATATGTATGTATGTATGTACCCATATTTGCTTTTATTTAAAAACATTTTATTTTAAGTGTACACAAAGTTTTTCTCTTTCTCCTAACCAAGTCGTGTTATGTGGCAGATGTTTCTCAGTGTGTGGACAGGTCATCGATGTGTACAAGGATGGCTGAGCGAGGCGACTGTAACACACGCAGGTCGAGTATGATCAACAACTGTCCAGTGTCGTGTTTCTTCTGTCACAGTGGTCCTCCGCCGCCTACCATAGCCAAGCCTAATTTTGGTGAGTGCTTATGTATGCCCCAAAAATTAATACATCAATTTCACACACACACACACACACACACACACACACACACACACACACACACATACACACACACACACACAGCCTAGCAAAGAAAGATTTCGTTGAGTGTTTAATTTTTTCGTGTGATGGAGGCTCCCGATCATTTGGCCGACAGACGTTTGGCCGACGGACATTTCACCGACGGACATTTGGCCAACAGACATTTGGCCAAACGGACAATAGACCGAACGGACAATTAGCAGAACGGACATTTGGGCGAATGGACATATGGCATTTTTATTTTTTTATTTTTTTCTTCTTTACAATGTATTTGTTTTATGTAGCACAGGATAACAAGATAACATAATTGTAATGTGATACATTTGCATAATAGAAAATTATTTTTTGCACATTTACTAAAGGACAAAAGTTATTCATTGTAATGTAATTACTTTATAGAAAATGCTGTATAAAACGAAATGTTCATAAATATCCTGTGTTTTAAAAAGCAAATATATTGCAAAGAAGAAACAAAAATAAAACAAAAATAAAAGGGCCATATGGCCTAACCTAACCTAAACTAACCTAACCTAACCTCGCCCAAATGTCCGTTCTGCTAATTGTCCGTTCGGCCAAATATCTGTTGGCTCAATGTCAGTTCGGTCTAATGTTCGTCGGTGAAAAGTCCGAAGGCCAAATGTCCTTCGGCCATCTGCCCGACCACGGTGATGGACGGGTCTTCACCAGTCTGTGGTATGAGTGCACTCTACGCCCCATGGTTAATTCCCAATCTTTTCTACTCTCTATTAATTAAGGAGCAAGAAATATTGGGTCATCCATTCTCATTAATTTTATCTCTTGCCCTTGAACAACCATAGACAGACACAATAAACTATTATCGGGTGTTCCTGGCGGATCATCGTCACCTGTTGGTCCAACCAGCCACATTGCCTCCTGTATTTGCGGGCAGTGTGCCATGTGTGCGGCCGTGAGCTAGCAAGTACTGTCCCAAGAAAACAAAAGCCTTGGACATAAAACACAACTCCAGGAAGTTTATCAATGAACAACCACAAAACCAAAATCAAAACAGGAACATGGAATGCTAGGACATTATATGAGGCTGGAATACATGCAAATGTTTGTAGGGAAATGAAAAGATTGCAGTGGGACTTGGTAAAGATGCAGGTTTATTCACCAACACATGATAGTGAGAATGAAGTTTTAAAAAATTTGATATGATATTTTTAAGAAAGTAAAAGACACCGTAAAGTATAATGAATGTCTGATTATAATGAGTGATGTTAACACAGAAGTTGGTGGAAGGAAAAGTTGCGCTGAAGTAGGAGACATATTAATTGACTGTGTGTGTGTGTGTGTGTGTGTGTGTGTGTGTGTGTGTGTGTGTGGTTTAGCGATTGAATTTCTAGTACAGTATTCCTGTAACGCGGTTTCACTTAACGCGTTTTATCATATACGCGGTGCCTCGCCAGAGCTGAACTTTCACTTAACACGGATTTTTTCCACATATACGCGGTGAGTGTCCGGCTCGAGACGCTATTTTTAGATTTGCCCCACCCTGCCTGACTGCCTGTTTTAGCTCATAAAATTCATACAAATTACCCGGCCAGAATATAATTTACATTGCTGGAATTCTTATAATTTGGTGATCATTTTGAATATAAACATCATATTTTTGCATTAGACATACAAATTTTAGATAAAAATTTTCTCAAATTAACTATGTTATCTTTTGTGCAAAATATATGACATTTATACAGGTAAATATATTTATTGACGCTGTTACAGAGTGTGGATTAGGGATCAATGCCACTGACCCTAGCAACATCAGGGAGGAACCTAGCAACGCCACTGAAAATCCTAGCAACACCACTGAGCATCCTAGCAACACCACTGAGCATCCTAGCAACACCACTGAGCATCCTAGCAACACCACTGAGCAGCCTAGCAACACCACTGAGCAGCCTAGCAACACCACTGAGCATCCTAGCAACACCACTGAGCATCCTAGCAACACCACTGAGCATCCTAGCAACACCACTGAGCATCCTAGCAACACCACTGAGCAGCCTAGTATCAGCAGGGAGGAGGTCAGCATTACCACAGGCAATCAAGTAATGTTACAATAATTTATATATAAAAGATGACAATGATACATACTGGATATAGTGATGATGATGATGATGATGATGATGATGATGATGATGATGATGATGATGATGATGATGGTATGATGATGATGATGATGATGATGATGATGATGATGATGATGATGATGATGATGATGATGATGGTGATGATGATGATGATGATGATGATGATGATGATGATGATGATGATGATGATGATGATGATGATGATGATGGTGATGATGATGATGATGATGATGGTGATGATGGTGATGATGATGATGGTGATGATGGTGATGATGATGATGATGATGATGATGATGATGATGGTGATGATGATGATGATGATGATGATGATGATGATGATGATGATGATGATGGTGATGATGATGATGATGATGGAGGATGATGATGATGATTGATGATGATGATGATGATGATGATGATGATGATGATGATGATGATGATGATGATGATGATGATGATGGTGATGATGATGATGATGATGGTGATGATGATGATGATTTATGGTATAAAATCAGCAATAACATACTGAAGAGTGAAGGAATGGATGATAAAAAGTAACAAGTAAATTAACTAGTAAAGTGACCAGTATAGTAACTAATAAAGTGACTGGTAAAGTAACTAGTAAAGTAACTATTAAAGTAACTAGTAAAGTAACTATTAAAGTAACTAGTAAAGTAACTAGTAAAGTGACTAGTAAAGAGACTGGTAAAGTAACTAGTAAAGTGACAGGTAAAGTAAGTGTTAAAGTGACTAGTAAAGTAACTCGTAAAGTAACTAGTAAAGTAACTAGTAAAGTGACAGGTAAAGTAACTAGTAAAGTAACTAGTAAAGTAACTAGTAAAGTGACTAGTAAAGTGACTAGTAAAGTGATTGTTAAAGCGACTGATAAAGAATGGATGAACAGGTAGACGAAAAGATGACGGATGATTGGACAGGTCGATAGATGGATAGACAGATGAGGAATTGGGTAAATGGAAAGAGAAATAACTGTTTTCTGTCTGTCATTCTGCCTGTCTGTCTGTCTGCCTGTCTGCCTGTATAATAAGTCCTCCTTTACGGAAGACTTTAGTCGAGCAGTCGTTGGGTGTTCGTCCTTCCCATCACTGAGTCCTGGGATAGTGAGCCGATCTGTAACGTTATATCTGCAGACCTACAGCCCAGTCTCATAACCTACTATTAGTTATGTTATGTCCTATAGTATTATTGCCATATGTTTAGGTATACTATGCTAAGGGCTGAATTAAAATAGCGTCTTGGCGTCCGTCTGTTTCTTTGTCTCCTCCAAACAACCATGCATACATTATGAGGTGTCTCGGCACCAGGAATAACACACACACACACACACACACACACACACACACACATACACACACACACACACACACACACACACACACACACACACACACACACACACATACACACACACACACCACTACACACACACACACACACACACACACACACACACACACACACACACACACACACACACACACACACACACATACACACACACACACACACACACACACACACACACACACACACACACACACACACACACACACACACACTACACACATACACACACACACACACACACACACACACATACACATACACACACACACACACACACACATACACACACACACACACACACACACACACACACCTTCGAGTATACTAAGATTTTTTTTTTCCTTTCAGAGGTCAACCACATTAGACCCGGAAGTGTTGCCAGGTAGTGTTTCTTCAATTATTTTCTGCGGTTCAATCATTTTATAGCGAAAACAATATTAATAATAATAGTAGTAATACTGTAGTAGTAATAGTAGAAATAATAGTAGTAATGGTTGAAATAATAATAGTAATAGTAATGAAAATATTAATAGTAATAATATTGATATTTATTAGTTATAATAACAGTAATAACATTAGTGATAATATATATATATATATATATATATATATATATATATATATATATATATATATATATATATATATATATATATATATATATATATATATATATAATATTATTATATTAATATTATTAGTAATAGTAACAGTGATAATATTGGTAATACTACTTGTACCTTAGCACTAACATAATGCTGCCACACTAGACGCATTTCACCGCCCTGTGTGCGAACAGACCCACACACACACACACGGTAATAATAGTAGTAATAATAGTAATATTATTAATAGTAATAATATTAGTAATAGTATTAGTAGTAGTAATAGTATTATGTATTCGGATATTTAATATTATGGTAATAAAATGGTGGCGAAGGTGTGGCTATTGATAACAATAGGTATAATAGTTGTTATAGAAGTAGTGATAGTATAACAATAATAATAGTAAGCGTAATGGCAGAAGTAATTTTAATAACAGTAGGAATTATAATAATAATAATAATAATAATAATAATAATAATAATAATAATAATAATAATAATAATAATAATAATAATAATAATAATAATAATAATAATAATTTTTTTTACGTGGCCTCCAGCCTCCCCCAATAGCCACACCTTCGCTGTGTTGAGTTAATTGAGCCGCAGATCTATGCAGCATTCAGTGACTGTTGCCTCATAGTCAATATCTGCAGCAGTTTTCGGCTTTGGGGCAGAAGCTCTCGTTCCCCTGAGGCAGAGCAAAGCAGACCTAAGGAGAAAGAAGGACAGTCGACATCTCAACCAGGCTGCAACATAACTTCTGGGCTGCTGCTTCTGTTCGGGTAGCACCTCTGCGAGTCTGGTGTAGAAGCATCTTGCACTTGGTCCCATCCCACCAGAGGTTGTGAACACCAGGGGAGTGAAGCTGCCTTGATCAACGTTCTGAATTCTCTCCCCATATGTCCTTATTTTGGCGTTCTCGTTCCTCCTGTGTGCAGCATCGAGAGCTAAGTTACGGTGACATGCGGCCATGATATAAAAAATCCTGATGTCAAGCACTGACGTCAACACGGGCTTCATTGGATGTGTTTCAAGTCCTATGCTGGAAATTCTCTCTGTCCAATGAAAGGAGGGTCAGTTCTACCCTGACATCACGACAGATTTCCTTCAACATATTTGCTGTGAGATCCCTTACTTCGTCATGCCTCATGCATACGAAGCCCCCTTTCTTGCACACCATGGCGTGATCGACGTCATAAGAGCCACAACGCATTGGGAGAGCAAACCTTCCACTGGCCTACCGTACCTCAGAGCATTGGCATCTGTAAATTATTTTTTATTAAGACTGAAACCATTTGCCCTTATCGGTAACGTAGTTAACCAGCTCGAGGCGCCCACCGCCTGCACTATAGCTACTTTTTTTTTAAATTCTCTGGTACTTGCAGCACCAGTTGCTGCAACTTATCACTTTGGCCATGCTTTCGTTCTGCCGTAATGGACCGTCGAATCTTGCTTACTTCACTGGTACCCACCTCCCCTGTTGCGTTCTGAGCTATTATGTGGTCCGTGAGGGCTGCCGTGAGCTTAACTGAGTTTTGATGTTCAGTGGCAGCAACCTCCTCTGGATTGGTCAATCCCATTCCTCCCAGTCTCGGTGATAGTGCAAGAAGTGATCTTTCTGCTGGGGTTAAGTGAAAATGTTTCACTAATTTGGGAATGAAATTGAGGCTGATAGCTTCTTCCAGAGGGTGGAGGAGGGGTCCGATTTCAGGGATAGTGCACATCAGGTAGTTCCATCTATGCTTGACTCCATGGGTGAATGCCGCAAAAACTTCATGTGGCTCTGTGTTAGCAATATCAGACAGAGCTTGGATTTTCCCTAACCCACTGATTCACCTTTCCCTTTACGTACTCGGTCTTGAAGTCCGTCGTGCCGATTACTACTACTACTACTACTACTAAAATTAATAATAACAGTATTAATAACTATAGCAATAACAATGACAACAAAGACGACAACGACAACAAAAACAATAATATTAAAAAAAATTTGGCCCGTGTGGACACTTAAAGTTAAACGTGACGTTCGAAGGTCAATAAATGGCATTTTGTAATCTGAATCGACAGTTGTAAGGCATGAACTTGCTAACCCAGCATTAAATGACAAAGGAGACCATATACTTTGAGTTCGAACATCCAAGTTGACTCTCAACTCAGTGAATGGTCGAACTTAAGGTATGCGTCTCCTTCCTTATTTGTTGATCTAAAGTAGTTGTTAGTTCATGTTTTACTTCTGTCAATTCAGATTAGAAAATGCCATTTATTGGCCTTCGTACGTCACCATTAACTGAAAAACTGTCCATTTTGGGCAGAAAATTTCTGTAATAATATTATTAATAATAATAATAATAATAATAATAATAATAATAATAATAATAATAATAATAATAATAATAATAATAATAATAATAATAATAATAATAATAATAATAATAATCATAATAATAATAATAATAATAATAATAATAATAATAATAATAATAATAATAATAATAATAATAACCCATGATTAAGTGTTATTGCTCTCTATAATAATAATAATAGTAAGCGTAATGGCAGAAGTAATTTTAATAATAATAATAATAATAATAATAATAATAATAATAATAATAATAACCCATGATTAAGTGTTATTGCTCTCTCTCTCTCTCTTTCTCTTTTTTAACAATAAAATTAATTTATCAGGAATCTTGTATAGTAATCCTCAATATCATTTTCTGATAATGCATATTTAACTATCATTTTGTTGTGCTATTCACGTAAGTACAGTACTTGTTAAAAATGTTCAAGTACCAGAGATTTTCCTGAACCACAACTGAGTATTTGTCCTTTATCTGTAGTAATATTTTCACTTTATACAGTATATCAATTATTTACTGGCAGCATAATTATGAACTCCAGGGTAGAGATATACGTTGTCTCTTCTTTATTCAGTGCTCTCCTCTGTAGAGGCGTGGGAACTGTTAAATTCATCTAACACTTACGTCTGCATACTAAGAGGTCAAACACATCACATTAGCTCTGCTGTGAGCGAGGGGCTCTCTCTCTTTAAGAAGTATGTAATAAGAGTTAGTGAATACTTGATCTCTCTCTCACAAGACTTTCTTTAACAGATCTGAGCGTCCAGGACACCTTCTGTGGAGCGACACCCATCTCTGACCGCTACTTGTTGACGGCCGCTTTCTGTGTCTTCGATCCTGACCACCCGTAAGTCCAAAGCTTACTTCTAAAAGGCTCGGTTTAAAAACATTCCTCACATCTAAAAATTAAGTCCAAAGTTTTATATTAGGTTCTAAAAATTAACTTTCAATCCGAAAATTTTATTACCCGGTCTAAATATTATCGATGATTTAAGTATTTCTTGTAAATCCAAAAATATTTTTGAAATTATGAAGAAACATGTAATTCTTTTTGAGTTCATAAATTTCCCATAATTTGAAGAAAAATCTTGTATTTAAGAAAGTATGATGATAAATGCCAAGAATCAACTCTAAATGTCCTTGTAAAGACACCTGATCCCAAGTCCTTCCCTGAAGTAGCCAGAACTTTCTGCGAGTCCGAAAGAACCCAATGTAAATATGCTAAACTTTCCCCAAGTCTAATAAAACTTCAGTAAGTCCAACAAAACTTTCTGGAAGTCTAACTACACGTCGTGTAAGTCTGGCAGAATTTAATACAAATCTGTAAGATTTTTCCCTTAGTCCAACAATTTTCAACAAATCCAACAGATCTTCCAAGTCAAATATAGAATCTCGTAAGTCCAAAAGAATTATTCATATTTCTATCAGAACTTCCCAAATTCCCCAAAGAACTTCTCATAAGTGCAACAGGACTTCTCATAAGTGGAACAGGACTTCTCATAAGTGGAACAGGACTTCTCATAAGTGGAACAGGACTTCTCATAAGTGGAACAGGACTTCTCATAAGTGGAACAGGACTTCTCATAAGTGCATCACATAATACCAACATAACTTCTGTATCCAAATGAATTCATGTTCAGGATTTCCACAGTTTTGCTTAGGTTAGTTTAATATCTGTTTAGTCAAGAGGTGCGGAAATGCATTTAATTGGATTATTCACTGTACAAGACTTTGCTTAAAATGGTGTCAAAAGTGAACTAAGACTGTTTAAAATGTCGAGAAACGTGAAATATACACTCTCTCTCTCTCTCTCTCTCTCTCTCTCTCTCTCTCTCTCTCTCTCTCTCTCTCGTTCCTGGATAATTGGATTCTTCTCTCACTTTTACACGCACTCTCTCAATGAATCGCTAAAGTAAGGTAAGGAGAGGTGGTAGGTTCTCCTGCACATGGCATTTCTAGTCTCTGAAAAACAAACAAAAACATCGTAAGATTAAGAAATTGTATTTGCCTCTTTACTGCCTCTGAGACTCACTGTCACTCACACTCATACCCTAGCATACACTCTCACGCAGAATCACCATAATCCTTCACTTTAAAACTTTTCGGGCTGTTTTTTCCAGTCCTCTGAGATTTTGTACCTCTCTAGAGACCCAGTTTTTTTTATTTAATTCATCCATCTCACACACACACACACACACACACACACACACACACTCACTCACTCACTCATTCTCACACTCTTTCTCTCACAGAATCAGCACAGTAAGGCTGGGAGAACTGGACTTCTCAAAAGACAATGAGACCAACGCTCGTCCGCGAGACTACCAAATTGAGCAGATTATTGTCCATCCTGACTACCAGTAAGTCCTATTATGTGTGTGTGTGTGTGTGTGTGTGTGTGTGCGTGTGTGTGTGTGTGTGTCTGTGTGTGTATGTGTGTGCAGCCACACACAGGGTGGTGAAATACGTCTAGTGTGGCAGCACTATGGCAGAGTTAAGGTGCAAGAACTGCTTGCTCCCTCTCGCTTTCAGCTGCCGCCGCTGGCTAGCCCTCGTGGGGAACAGGGAAGCAACTTGCATAAGTCTTACCCTGCAAGTACACAGCCTCCTCACCACCAAGACTCCTGTTGTGCCTCCTTGTGGCAACACACGGTAACTGGGTGCCTCGTGGGCCCAGGCTAGATCAGCAGGAGATCTCGGAGTAGCAGTGGGCACCAAAGGGACGGCAGATAGGCCCATTGGCATGTGGACACGGCCTTGGTTCATACCAACCACCGCCAAGCAGCCTTGCAGATTAACCTTGGCAGGTATAAGGCTACGGGAGTAAACCCCAAACGAAAAATCTGCGGTGAGCCCCGCATCAGGCAGACATGCTTACAGAGCTCCAACAAGACCCCAGCGGCGATGTATTCGAAAGAGGTGACCACCATGGAAACCCAACGACTACACCGGTAGAGGAAGGCAATGCCTGATGAACAGGCTACTAAGGCGAAACCCAACAAACTGGGCTATTGGCAGTCCATTGCAACTTTCCCTCTTCCCAGTCATTGCAACACTTGCACCACTGGATCAGGAAAAAGGAGAGCTAAGATGTGTGGTTGCATCCTGTACTCCTGCCTCACCACATAAATCAATTCACGTGCAGCCATGATCCAGCTCATCATACCTCTCATCATCATCAAAAGCCCTTATACCCCTCAAAAGTCCTATGACGACGGACAAGTGGCGACGGGGACAGGCAGAGATGACTGCCGGGAGTCTTTAATCAAAACGCTGCACATGGGTGGCACAGATAAGACAGTCGTTTATGCACTGGGATCTAGACAGCAGTGCAATCCAGTCTTGTCTGTGCGACTCAGCAGCCCTTCTGAGGAGCCACTTTGCTCACCCCACATGGGGAGGGGGCTAGAAAAGGTGCCCTAAACATAGCCTGTCTAAAAACCCAACATGACTGGGCAAGCGCACCCAATAAGGTCATCCTTATGCGGTAGAAAACACAATCAAAAGCACAGATCCAAACAAAAACAAACCATACAACCTCTTATGGTCGCTGCATGGAATGTCAGGATCCTTTTGGATACTGGCACAAATGCTCATCCTGAAAGAAGAACTGGCCTTGTGGCAAAAGAGCTGGCTAAGTATAACAAGGACATAGCAGTCATCAGTGAGTCCCGGCTCCCAGATGAGGGGCAACTCACAGAACGAGGGTCTGGCCACACCTTCTTCTGGAAGGGTAAGCCTGCTGCTGAGAGAAACGGCATATATTTAGTTGGCTTTGCCATCCGCCAACGCATCCTACACAGGTTAACTGAAATGCCTATTGGGAACAACGAGCGCCTCATGATGCTTCGAGTCCCACTGAATCACTCATGTTATGCCTTCTTCATCAGTGCATACGCCCCAACACTGGATGCAGAGGATGACATCAAGGAAGCCTTTTACGCTGACCTCGACAGAGCGCTAACCTCTATCCCCAGAGAAGACAAGGTTGTGCTCCTTGGCGACTTCAATGCCAGAGTTGGCAGAGATGGGGGAGAAATGGACTAAGCAAGTTTAATCCCAATGGCCTGTTCCTCCTCAGCAAGTGTGCTGCACACAACCTCACTATCACCAATACCTTGTTTAGGCAGGCCAACAAGTTTAAGGGTTCGTGGCAACACCCACTATCCAAAGACTGGCATCTCATTGACGACATCATTGTCAGAGAAAGAGATCGCAGAGATGTCCTCATCACCCGTGCCATGTGTGGCTCAGACCACTGTGACACTCATCATCGGTTTGTCAGAGCTAAGCTCTCGCTCCACGTTGCCCCAAAACAAAGAATGCATCAAGCCTCCAGAAGAGGTTTTAATATTAAGCATTTGGAGGATCCAGCGGTAGCATATGCTTTCAGAGAGCAGCTTGAACATGGGCTAATAAACAACCCAACAACAAACAACTTGAATCCCAGTGCCAAATGGGATATTCTCAACGCTGTCATGACAAAAACCTGCAGAGAGACCCTCGGCCACTTCAAAAGAATACACCAGGACTGGTTTGATGAAAATGATCTGGCAATTAAAGTACTCATTGATGATAAGCGTGCTGCTTTTACTGACTGGCAGAACAACCCTCAGTCTCTGACCAAAGCTAACACATTCCGCAAGAAGAAAGCAGTAGTCCAGTGGGAACTTCGCAATCTAAAGAACGACTGGCTTAAAAACAAAGCATGTGGAGAACAAAAGCTTGCACATCAGCACAAGATGCGCGAATTTTTCATTTCCACTAAAATATTTTATGGGCCAGTCACTCGTGGTGCAGCCCCCCTCCACTCATCCGACGGTAACCACATAATTAAAGACGACGAAGGCCTCCTTCAGCTCTGGAGACAAATATGAGGATGTCCTGACTACCCAGCAGGTCCCTCAGCATCCAGAGCTGACCCACCTCAGCTATCCTCCATCCCTGGATGGGGTAACTACTGCCATTAAACAGATGAAAAATAACAAAGCCTCAGGGCCTGATGGAATCCCAGCAGAGGTGTACAAAACAGAAGGACCTCTGCTTCCCTGCCGTCTCCACTCTCTCCTGGAGAATATATGGGATAAGGAGGAAATCCTCCAAGCTCTTAAAGACGCCTCCATTGTAAATATATATAAGATCATGGCACACCGGTCAGACTGTGGCAACTACCCTGGGATCTCGCTGCTCTCCGTAGCTGGCAAGATTATCGGCTGAGTCGTCCTAAACAGACTTCTTCCTGAGGCTGAAACTTCCACCCAGAATCTCAATTTGGTTTTAGACCATTTCATGGCACCACTGACATGATCTTTGCTGCCCGCCAGATACAGAAAAAGTGCAGATAACAACATCGTGACCTGTACATGGCTTTCATCGACTTAACCAAGGCCTTGGGCTCGGTCAACAGGGAAGTCCTCTGGTGGACCCTCAGCCGTTTTGGCTGCCCACCAAAATTCATCGCCATTGTTAGGCAACTCCACGATGGCATGAACGGCAGTGTCCTGCAGAGCGGCACCCAGTCAGAGTTCTTTCCCATCCATACAGTGGTTAAACAAGGGTGTGTACTGGCACCAACTCTCTTTTCCATCTTCTTGGCTGCCTTCCTTACTTGTGCAAGTGCCAATTTAGCCAGCGGGGTGAACATCAAGTACCGGGTGAAGGGGGGTCTTTTCAACATAAGACGACTCCAGGCAAGAACAAAGTTGTCAGCAGCTTCTGTTACTGAACTTCAATATGCAGACGACCTCACCCTTGTTGTTCACATTGAACACAACCTGCAGGAAGTCCTGAACACCCTTGCAGACGCATATGCACACGTCGGACTTGAGGTGAATGTACGTAAGACTCAGATTCTCTTTCAACCTGCCCCTGGTTCAGACACACCTCCACCATCCATCCAGCTTAATGGTACTACCCTCTCTAATGTTTCCCACTTTCGGTATCTCGGCTCCCACCTGTCTACCACCGCAAACATCGATGAAGAGATTCAGCATCGGATCAGATGTGCATCTCAAGCCTTGGGCGGACTCCGAAATCGTGTCTTCAGCTATAGGGAGCTGAAATTATCCACAAAGCTGCACCTATATCGAGCAGTGGTCATGCCCACCCTACTATATGGCAGTGAGACATGGGGTCACATACAGGATGCACCTCAAGGCACTTGAAAACTTTCACCAACGTAGTCTACGTCCCATCCTCCGAGTTTGCTGGGAAGACAAAAGAACTAATAACAGTATTCTTGCTGACACCAACTGCAGGAGCATCGAGGTTACCTTTATCCATGAACAACTACGTTGGACTGGCCATGTTACCCACATGGACGACAGTAGACTGCTAAAGCAGCTACTCTACAGTCACTTAATGAATAGTAAACGTAAAGCTGGAAAGCAACTGAAAAGGTATCAGGATAGTCTTAAGATAAACCTGAAAAGGTACCAAATCGACCCCCTTACCTGGGAGTCGATTACTCCACATCATAACGCTTGGAGGAGCACCACACGAGAAGGTGTCAATACTTTCGAGTTAGCCCGACTGCAAACTGAGGCAGACAAGCGCCAACGTCGTAAAGACGCTGGCACCGTCCCTCCCACAGTAGATGGATCCCTCCACAAGTGCAACGAATGAGGACGACCCTGCCGGTCCCGTATCGGCCTCTTTAGTCACCTCAGAACTCACCAACCTACAGTAGGTGACATCCTTATCATTGTATCATAGCTGGATGATCGTCATACTCGATTCCGAGTGACAGCAAAGTAGTAGTAGTAGTAGTGTGTGTGTGTGTGTGTGTGTGTGTGTGTGTGTGTCTGTGTGTCTGTGTGTTTACCCACAAGCCGGACTTCCCGGTGTCCTCAGCGTGTCCATAACTTTTTATGTCCACAGGCCAGACTCCCCGGTACGGAGCTACGACATAGCCTTACTGAAGACGGTGGAGAAAATCTCCTTCAACGATGTGGTGTTTCCTTTCTGCGTGTCCTCCGAGCGTCCGTCTGTAGGAACCACAGTTCTCGGCTCAGGCTTCGGCCTGGTTAATGAAAGTAAGTCAGCCCAGCATATGTGAGGTCTTTCGATTACTTGTGACTCTGTGACAGCTGTTTTAGTATCACGCTAATTGTTTTACTTACGTTCTGAAACTCTTAAGTGGCAGGGCTTGATGTAAACACTTCTTGGCGTTTTTTGTTTTATTACTGAAAGCAGGTACAGTATATACACAGATATAATCTGAGAGAACATATTGTGAATTCTCTCTAGGGAATTGTTGTGAATATCACTTTGAGATAACACTTCTGTTAAATGTGAACTTCCCTGTCTAGTGGTTTGGAGTGAACTGCCCCTCTCTGGGGTGTGAGAGAATGGTATCGAACGAGCGGTGTTTACTGAATCAGCTGACCCTGGCTCGACCCCAGTGATAGATACAACCTCTGTGATCTAGTCGTAGATAACATGTTGAATCACTTGGAGTAATTTTACAAGACTATGGCGGCAACTCGACGAGTTTTTATGGAGGAGGAGACATCTATCCTTGCACATCATAAGTTACTTTTATTACTATAATATCAATCAAATTATGATCAAATTATAATGATTATGGTCATAAATTTTTGTAGGCTCAATGTCCGTTCGGTCAAATGTCCGTCGGTGAAAAGTCCGTCCGCCAAATGTCCTTCGGCCATCTGTCCGGCCACGAAAAATTTATAGGATTCTGCCTATCTACCACCAGTCTTCTCTCTACAAAATTTACAATTTGACGATATCGCCGAAATGCGCGCTCTGTCAAAATTCAAGTTGACTTGCTTGACTTGCTTGAAGGATCGACCGCCAAACCTGGCTCCAGGCTGAATTAGAGGATCGACAAATCCGACCTGAATCTTTGTATTGGCTCAAGCCAGCATTCTGAATACCAACAACCTTCAATCTTCGCTCGATCCTTGGTTTAAACCTTCCTGTGGTTTCAAATCAGCATTGTGATTTCGAGCCTTAGAGTCCGGGGAGGATCCTTTCCCTTGATCTTGCCGCGGGCTAGATGGGTATTTATCCTTTTGTCCTTCAAACCAACAGTCAGCTGCAGCCAAAGGTGCTTTTTTGGGATTGGTTCCTGTGGTAGATCGTAGTTGCTCCTTAGAACTGGTGACGGGCGCTACTGACAGAGTCGTAAGAATAGTTTCCACCGCATCAGAAATTTCCTCCACGTAATCAACAAGTTTAGTTCCTAGTTTATATTCCATCTTTCTGGCTGCCTTGCGTGTAGTTTCGTGTAGCACCATGATAAACTGTTGGAACTCGGTGATCTTGTAGAAATTTTCCCTAGTTATTTTTCCTTCATCAACAAACCAATTTGAAGATGTCATGTGAGTACTGAGATCCATCATAGTGTGTCCAGCTATAGTCTGTGTTTCTTGTGCGTCGTGAGCAAACACACTGGTACTTGTACGCTCTGCTAACTTAAAGATCCAAGTAAGCTCACCTCCTTTTGTTTCTGACCCGAAAAAGGATATGAAATGGTTCCTAAACGTTTAATAATCACGAGTTTCATCGTCAAAGGCTGTAGCTTACATCATTCCATGTGCCTTACTACCTGTTTTGATGTTGCTTAGGGCGTAAGAGATTTTATCCCTAACGTTAGTAACATCTTTGTTTCGCATTACATCTTCGCACTCATGCAGAAATGTTAAGACATTAAAATCTGCATCTTCTGCGGTAAATTCTTGTACCTTGATGTTATTTGGAAGCATTTTTACAGTTTGGTAGGCCGAAGAGGTCTGTGGGTTAGCAGAACCACCTGTTGTCTTTTTTGCTGTGTTAGTTAAAGCACTAGCGTTGTTAACAGGTAAAGGTAAGAGCGTTGTTAACAGGTAAAGGTAAGAGCGTTGTTAACAGGTAAAGGTAAGAGCGTTGTTAACAGGTAAAGGTAAGAGCGTTGTTAACAGGTAAAGGTAATGGGTAAGTGTTACCTGACCTAAGTTGTCTACAGTGTAAGTCCTCGAACTGAGAATTGATGAAATTCTTAAAGCTAGTTTAGGAGTCAGTAGGTGTTAACTCTATTTGGCTAATTTGTGGTAATTCTTCACTAGCAGTTACAGCTAGCTCCAGTGAGTTTGTTGATGACTGACTATCTGAGTCTGAGTCTTTAATTTCCTGTTTGAAACATAACATTTTTGGAAGAGGGTCCATAAATAGGGATATGTATCACTTCACTTGCAGCATAACACACACTAAGTTGTCCACTTAAGGAGTAATGCAAAAGTATTTATAATGAGTTATGGAAATGAAGAGAAAGAGTAATTATAATTATTAAGAGTATATATACTTTGTGTGAGTCCTCTCTTACTTTATAAATGTGTTTATTTAGTTTTGCTTTTAAGCCGCTGTGTATATAGTTTATTTTATATTGAGTATGTGTGAAGACCTCTGGAAGTTCATTTGTGTTTGTGTAGTTTGTAAACTAATGATTGTTTGTGATCCACCTGACCGGAAAATCCGTAGAGTTTCGACGCCAGGTGGTGACGTCAGAAGTGATGACGTCCTACTCTGGGAAGGATGACGTCACACGTCTTGTGGTGGTCAACCTGGGACTGACTTTTCATGTGCACTGGAGAGGATTGATTGATTAAGCAAGAGGCTGCTTGCTTGTTTGCTTGAATGGAACCACGATGAGAACGTTCCTAGCTGTTCTTTGGTATTAAAGGCTGACCAAAGGAGGGGCCCAGGTTTCATTATAAGGATAGTAAAAGTGGGCCCCGTTGGCCTGCTGGCCCATTTGGGCGTTGTGGATACATCATACTGTAGATTAAACCTTAGTTTCGTTTCTCAAATAGGTAGTGTGATTGACAGGATACTTGTTGCCTTCACTCCTTCAACTCTTATGTTCTGCCCATTCACAGCTGGGAGGACTAGGGTGCCCGAGTACCTCCCTGCCACACCCCATTATAATATTGGATGAATCCATGTTACGGTTCCAGGGAATAATAATTCCTTAAACTCTTCTACTCAACTCATAGATCGATGGCTGAAATCATTCAGACTGTAGCAGTGGTCTCGGGAAAATCACCCGAAAGAGCAGCATCTAGTTGCAAACTGGCATGAACACAGCATCAGTCCAGGTTTATTTACCTGCTTGACAACCTCCTTCTGTGCTGTTATTAAATTTGGGAAAGTGTACTATCAGGCGAGCTTATTACAGATTCACGTTTAGTTAACATCTGAGAGCCAAACATACTGTGAATGTTACAGTAAGAGTTATGGGGGCTTCAACCTGGAGCATACATGCTCTTGGGTTTATTAGGGGCATACCTTCAGCTTCCCAGAGTCAGGAATGTCTTAAGTGTGGATTAATTTTCTATCTTATTCCTAAAATGTTTGTTCCTATTGGACGTGTTTTACCAACATTCAATTGTCAGAGTCTGTAATAAACAAAAACAATAATACAGAATACAGGAGTTAAGACTGATAAATATAATATCTGCGATGCCATAAAACCTTCAACATATTTATCCTCTCCCCTTCCAACCCGGACCATTGTTTCAGCTCATCAGTCGCCCGTGTTACAAGAGGTCCAAGTGTTAACAGTGTCTTCCAACCCGGACCATTGTTTCAGCTCATCAGTCGCCCGTGTTACAAGAGGTCCAAGTGTTAACAGTGTCTGTGTTTCAGCTCATCAGTCGCCTGTGTTACAAGAGGTCCAAGTGTTAACAGTGTCTGTGTTTCAGCTCATCAGTCGCCCGTGTTACAAGAGGTGGAGGTGGAGGTGATGGCGTTAGCTGAGTGTGAGAAACAGTACCAGGAAGCTGGACTCTTGCCACACCTCAAACAAGCTTACCCTAACTTGTTAAATGGCAGCAAGGTCATATGTGCTGGATACCCAGGCAGGGGGGCATGTAAGGTGAGTGTAATACCCAGGAAGGAAGGCGTACATGAACCATTATACATATAACTTATATGATACTCTCTCTCTCTCTCTCTCTCTGCCACTAACTGATGGGGTGCCTCTGCAGGGTGACGAGGGAGGGCCGCTGTACCTGGATGACGGACAAGGTCATCGTTACCTAGTCGGGATCGTCAGCTTCACAGGAGCCTGTAAGAAGGAGTCTGTCACGCCCGGCATCTACACCAGCGTCGCCGACCATATTGACTTTATTGATAGTGTCTTGTATGGCGGTAACTAGAAATATATAGATAGATAGATAGATATCCCTATATGAATGAAAATATTTATTACAAGTAAATATAAAGAGTTATATACTATAATGCATGAAAATACCTGATAAGTAAATGTGTTAATAAAGAAATAGAATAAAAATATTGGAAGTAAATTTATATATAAAAATAATTGGTGTTGGGATGAAGCGACCTGAAAGTTGTATATTTCCTCAGGCTTTGAAAAATAATCATATAATTGGTGGGCTGTTTTATTTTCCTCTCTTAGCAAAACCATTCTACGGGGACACTGTAATCACCTTACTGTTGCATTGTTGAAAATTAAAGGCTAAAACTCTTAAGGTTTGGGTGTTACCAACTCAACCTGTGAAATCGAGATCAATATTGAACATCAAAATAATCCTAAACAAAAATTTCAAGAAAAGTGGAGGGATCCTACACAGGCCAGTAGCCACCTTTCCCCTTCATGACCCCTCCAGTAGGATGCCGCCATTACAGTAGGTAAATAAGGTAATGAATTTATTTCAGCTCCCGTTCAGTAGGCCACATTTCCCCCCTTGTAAATGTCTAGATACGCCACAGGAAATTACCTAGCCTAAACAAAGGACCCTCCTGGATATAAGCATGTCACTTTTGTCGGCCATCTTTGGTAAAATTACCATACTGTTTACCAATGTTGTATATCTGCACTATAGGCTCAAAGAAAACTATACTGCACATACACGATATACCTGCATCGTCTATATCCATGCTGAACTGTATACCTGCATCGTCTACATCCATGCTGAACTGTATACCTGCATCGTCTATATCAATGCTGAACTGTATACCTGCATAGTTTATATCCATGCTGAACTGTATACCTGCATAGTTTATATACATGCTGAACTGTATACCTGCATAGTTAATATCCATGCTGAACTGTATACCTGCATAGTTTATATACATGCTGAACTGTATACCTGCATAGTTTATATACATGCTGAACTGTATACCTGCATAGTTTATATACATGCTGAACTGTATACCTGCATAGTTTATATCCATGCTGAACTGTATACCTGCATCGTCATTATCCATGCTGAACTGTATACCTGCATAGTTTATATCCATGCTGAACTGTATACCTGCATAGTTTATATCCATGCTGAACTGTATACCTGCATCGTCTATATCCATGCTGAACTGTATACCTGCATAGTTTATATACATGCTGAACTGTATACCTGCATAGTTTATATCCATGCTGAACTGTATACCTACATAGTTTATATCCATGCTGAACTGTATACCTACATAGTTTATATACATGCTGAACTGTATACCTACATAGTTTATATACATGCTGAACTGTATACCTACATAGTTTATATCCATGCTGAACTGTATACCTACATAGTTTATATACATGCTGAACTGTATACCTGCATAGTTTATATACATGCTGAACTGTATACCTGCATAGTTTATATACATGCTGAACTGTATACCTGCATAGTTTATATCCATGCTGAACTGTATACCTGCATAGTTTATATACATGCTGAACTGTATACCTGCATAGTTTATATACATGCTGAACTGTATACCTGCATAGTTTATATACATGAACTGTATACATATACATGCTGAACTGTATACCTGCATAGTTTATATACATGCTGTATTATATACATGCTGAACTGTATACCTGCATACATGCTGAACTGTATACCTGCATAGTTTATATACATGCTGAACTGTATGTATACCTGCATAGTTTATATACATGCTGAACTGTATACCTGCATAGTTTATATACATGAACTGTATACCTGTGTGTACCTGCATAGTTTATATATTAGTTTATATACATGCTGAACTGTATACCTGCATCGTCTACATCCATGCTGAACTGTATACCTGCATAGTTTATATACATGCTGAACTGTATACCTGCATCGTCTACATCCATGCTGAACTGTATACCTGCATAGTTTATATCCATGCTGAACTGTATACCTGCATCGTCTATATCCATGCTGAACTGTATACCTGCATAGTTTATATACATGCTGAACTGTATACCTGCATAGTATATATACATGCCTATACAATTGTAAACCTGTATGAGAACTTCATCGAATAAATATTAATATCATTATGGTATTATTATTATTATTAATCTTGGAATACTGTCGCCTGACCTTTATTTTGTCCACTGCATCACTCTAAACTTAAAACTTACAGTGTTAAGTTTCCAATATTACATTAGAAGTTGTGTAGTTTTGAAGCTGTCCTGTATTTTCTTAAAATGTTGGTCACCAATAAACTAGTGAGCACAAAATGAGATATAAGAATGTAGCGTCATTGCCAATTCTGTTACCAACTTGTAAAAACTATGATAAGAACATCTCACTACTAAAGTAGTAACCTGTTCTAAAGAACTACAATATAATGCATTGCTAAGTTGTGTATTTTAGTTCATATTAAATGGTGTAAAACTGGTGTAAAGTCGCTCTTTTTATGTAAAATAATCAATGTGCTGCCTTGAGAAATTATTCCTGGATATCTAAATTTAGATGTCAATAATAATCTATAGACTATACATAACGTGTTAAATAAATAACCCGGTGTTATCACACACTATGGCGGCGCCATCGTCGCGGTGGAATATGAAAATTAGCATTGAGTGAAGAACTATCCTCCTACAACTACGGAATTCACGACTAAGCTTAACAAGAGTTAACGGATCACTGATATTTTTATGAACAACAGAGTAATATTAACATTAAGGGAACCTTCTTCTTTGGACCACTGGACATTTTTTCAATGTATTTTATGAAATTTTTCCAGATCAAGACGGTACAATATTCAACCCATCGTGTACCACAGAATAGTGGGGAAATACTTTGTTGCCGGTTATTGTTGTGTAATCAGATATTCCAGGAGACTCAATGAACCGATACCAGAGGGACCGCAAAAGCTTGGTATCTCCCATCCTGTTCCTTCAACGCCTGTTCTAGAGGCACCATGCACAGCAGGCAGTCCACAAGTCCCATTGTTAATCAGGGAAGGAGTTTCATGGACTGAAGCATCTCTCTCAGAAATTAAGTTTTTCCTTAAAAATTTTGAGAAAAAATTTCAAAGTTGATATGCAATTTCCAGGCTCTTCCTTAGCCTTTTCTAAACACAATTTTCCCTGACCTGCCACGAAATTCCCCGGGTTTCCCTGACTATCCCTGACCCGTGGCAACCCTGTTGTTACGAACAGTTTTACAGTAACTGTTAACAGAACCATTCTCTGGTAAAGAAAATTCTGAGGAATAAACAAATATTTTAATTTATTAGTGTTTCGTGAACTCTGTAATATATTATTTTTCCCAACGTCCGCAAAGATTACATATTGTTTATACAAAGCAAAATTATGTGAAGGGGTAAAATGGCCTGTTATTTCACCCTAAGAATGTTGAATAATAATTTTACTGGAAAATTAAATTGTCATGTGTTTATCACGCGCTTGTGATTAGTATTTAGTCAAGAGAACAGACACGCAAAACGTGGGAACTAACGGGGAGTGTTTTCACACTAAGAACATATGAACATAAGAATGGAGGAAACTGCAGCGGGCCTATTGACCCATACTGGGCAGTCCCGTTTATACCCAACCCCTATTGCTCATATAAGCATCCAACCAATGCTTGAAGCTATCCAGCGTATTCGAGTTAATGATGATATTTGGTAACTTGTTCCATTCATCCACTACTCTGTTTCCAAACCAGTGTTTACCTATTTCAAGCCGAAATCTAAATTTATCTAATTTAAAACCATTGTTACGAGTTCGCTCCTGGTTGGATAGTTTGAGTACCTTTGTAATGTCCCCTTTGTTTAACCCTGACTTCCATTTATACACCTCTATCATGTCGCCCCTCACTCTACGTCTCTCGAGGGAGTGAAAATTAAGATGCTTTAACCTGTCTCTGTACTTAAGGTTCCTCTTGCCCGGGATTAGTATTGTCATTCTCCTCTGGACTCTTTCCAAGGATTCTATATTAACTCTGTAATACGGTGACCAGAACTGAACTGCATAATCCAGGTGAGGTCTCACAAGCGCAAGATATAATTTTAAGATGACCTCGCTAGTCTTGTAACTAACACTCCTTTGTATGAACCCAAGTACTTTATTAGCCTTGTTACGAGCAAAAACACATTGTTTACTTGGCTTAAGATTCCTACTTATCATTACTCCTAAATCTCTCTAGCAGTCGGATTCCACAATGGCATCGTTGTTCATCTGGTAACTGGTTTCCCTGTTTACATTTTCTTATACTGAGTACTTTACATTTGTTCACATTGAATTTCATCTGCCATTTTTCCGACCATTCGAAAAATTTGTTTAGATCTTCCTGTAGTTTTGCAGAGTCCTCGTCAGATTTAATTACACGTCCTATTTTAGTGTCATCAGCGAATTTACTTATGTTGCTATCTATGCAGATATCTTTGTCGTTTATGTATATAATAAATAATAATGGTCCAAGTACTGAGCCTTGGGGAACTCCACTAGTGATGTTGCTCCAATGGGATTTAGTGCCGTTAATGCTCACTGGCTGTTTCCTGTCCTGTAACCACGCCCTAATCCATTTAAGAATATTACCTTTGATGCCATGCGCTTCTACCTTTCTAATTAGTCTTTCGTGGGGGACTCTGTCGAAGGCTTTGCTAAAGTCGAGATATACCACATCGTAATTGTGCCCCTCGTCCACCGATTCGAAAACTGATGAAAAGAATGTTAATAAATTAGTTAGACATGAACGCCCGCTTGTGAAGCCATGTTGGGAATCATTGATCAACTTGTGCTTTTCCAGGTGGTTTCGAATAGAGTTTGAAATGATTGATTCTAGTAATTTGCCAACTATTGATATTAGACTGATTGGGTGGTAGTTAGAGGATAGCGATCTATCCCCCTTCTTGAAAATCGATATTACTTTCGCTATCCTCCAGGATTCTGGTACTACATCTGTTTTTAATGACATGTTAAACAACTTTGCTAACGGCATACTAAGCTCTTCCTTACATTCCTTTAATACTCTGGCAAATATCTCATCGGGACCAGGTGACTTATTAGGCTTCAGTTTGTCTTTTTGCTTATTAACATCGTTACTAGTCACAATGTTAAAGGGGGGATGATTTACACTGCTGAGGGGAGTAGTTTTGGCCTAGCCGGAAAAGATACCAGATTCTTTTGAGACAAGGGTGAAAACAC